ATTTTAAAGACTTAACAAAAGAAATATCGAAGAATCATTAGAATATTATTTACAATGCGCTTTGCAATATTTACATTTTTTTCTCTAGTCTAGGAAAAAGACTATTAATGCATATGACTTGCCTCAACTTATTGATACCTTCCAAGGTAACAATGAACCAATGCAAAGAAAATTTTAGATGAACACTTTGTCGAAGTTCCAAATGTGGATACTCAAGTAGCATCATATCTAAATCCAGATCAAGAACATGTTATTGATGTTATACTCGAAAAATCAACAGTGAATCAGAGATGTTTTTTTTGTCGATGCACCTGATGGTACAGGAAAAGCCTTTGCATACCGTGCTTTACTGGCAATGATTCGATCTCATAAGATAATAGGAATTACAACAGCAACTTCAGATGTAATATTATCAATAATGTCAGGAGGTAAAACCATCCGTTTAATTGTCAATATTCTACTCTAGACTTATGAATCAACGTGTTGCATATCAAAGCAAAGTACTACAATAGAATTGATTCGATAGGCAAAGCTCATAATATAGGATAAAGCACCAATGACCAATACAAACACAATAGAAATCGTTGATAGAACTTTAGGAGATATTTTGGACAATTTAAACCATTTAGTGGAAATATTTTTGTAATCACAAAAGATTTTTCGTCAAGTACTACATATCATCTTAATATCAACAAGAAAATAACCAATTAACCAAAGTTTGGTTGCATCGTATCTTAGGGAGAAAATGAAAAAGCTACAATTAAATCAAAACATGTGTACTTAAGATGACAATCGATTTACAAAATACTTGATCCATATTGGTAATAGAAAAGAATCTTACATTGGGGATGATTTCACCAACTTACCAAATGAGATAGTTATAGCATGTAATGATGCTAAAACTTCGGAGTTGCATTTAATCGATACAATGATCCCACGTTTAACAGAAAATACAGCCTTTTTCTAATTATATGACATACGTTGAATGTTTTAAACCAAAAATGAGTATCTTGATTACCTTGATGACAAACTAATTGGGTACCTACTGGAGAAAGTGAAGAATTTGTAAGTTTTGGCGAAATAATAGATGATACAAATCAATTTTACCGAGAGGAGTTCCACAAATGGTATCCCACCACATAAGTTAATATCAAAAAGAAATTGCCCACCGATGCTTTTAAAGAATCTAGACCTATTAAACAATTTTCGCAATGGAACAAGAATGATTTATCGAGATTTCAAGTGACATTTCATGCAAAATTAACTATTGGACAACATTCCGTTTACTCTAACAAATGATGAAGAATATCTGAAGCAATTTCCAACACTTTTATACTCTGCAAGGACCATTAACAAGACTGGAGGACAAATAGCGCCTATCGTTGGAATATACCTTCTTAAACACAATTCTCTCACAAACAATTATATGTCGTACTTTCTCGCGAAATTTCACTACAAGCAACAAAAATCTTGGTAAAAGCAAAAAAGAAAAAGAAAAGAAGTTGCAGGACGTTAAAAAAATATCGTGTACAAAGAAATGTCATTGTAATAAAAACATTACATTTTTTTTTTCAACATTTTCACATTAGATATAAAATTTCGTAAAAAAATATTGACACTTGAAAGATACTTTAGAGACAACCCTTGATCAAGTGCCCGATAATGTATTTTATTTGAAATTGGGATAACAATCTTCGCCCCTATCCCCACATGCATACCCGGTTAGGTGGAGAATATCGTCCCGTTTGGAGCAAGGCCCGCGAACATTGGATTTAACAATTTTTTTTGTCATCCATACAAAGATAGAATTATGTCGTTGCTTAAGTCTCATTCTTCAAAATTCATTTTTCTCAATCATTTTCAATTACACATTCTTTCAAAAAAATATTTTTACACGTAGACTCAAACCTTTTTCATTTTTATTAATATTACATTCTCCTAGAAAATCATTTTTTACAAAATCTATTATCTAAAAAGGGAATTGAACTAAGGTTTTAGTGCGGCTGTTATAATAGATGAATCTACTAGATGATCAAGTGGCAATTATTTAACCATCATTCACGTTGACCATTTAGATATTATTTGTGTTGACATATGGTTGATTATAAAAAACAAATAATTTTATTTACTAACATTTGAATTT